TAGCCCTTTGACGTTCGTAAATGTTAAGGTAACAGCAGCTTATGGATTGCCGTGAAGTAGGGAAATGTTACTGAAAGCGCCGCCAATATGCATAAATACATATTTAATATGCATAATTTATATCGGCGTGTAGTGAACATTAGTCTCTGCACTAATATCCCATGCACGCGAGCTCACAACAACAAATGTCTTGTTGAAACGCAAGATAACATCTTGTATTGCTTTTTTCACGATCTAATTAAATCGAAAGCCAAGCTCCGGATAAGTGCGGAATGCGGTCGCTGTTGAAATATTGATTAAGCTTTTTGTGTTACGTTTCAATCTCGTCTTGCATTATGTGTAGCGAGTCAACGAACCGCGCGCCCTACAGCGAAGGTGTTAACATTTTCTCACATTACTTTTAAAACAACAGCAATGTTGCAACGCGTGAAAACTTCACTTGTCACTTTACCACCTATGTCGCTGAACACCTGACCCGAAATGTTGACACTGTGACAAACGTGGCCCGATGTTTACACAATAAATTGAAAAGATAAATCTTTGATGAAAACTTTTACACAACCGGCACGGGTACGTATGGACACAAAAGAGTTGAAATGTTTACAGTAAGTCGGCACGCGTCGACCTAATACACTACCAGATGATTGAGAGCTGTTATGATTTAAGACGACAATCGAGTCGAGGGCTCTAAACGATGAACATTGTCGTTGTGACATTAACGTCGCCTACACAATCGAATCGGGGTATCGCGGCTATCGAAGCCCATTCGAAACGGATAAAGGTCTTGCTCGTGAGGATTCAATAAAGAAAAAAAAGATCAGGTAGTCAGTCGGCCTTCTGTGGCCCATTGTGACTTAACGAGGCGATGAATACTCGGAGTCATCGGCGAACAGGTGGCACGCTACACCCGTGTCGGCGCTAGCTTCGTTTTGCACTTTTAGAAGTTCGACGAACGCATTTCATTATTCAAATGTTATTCGAGTGGCGTGAAAGCGCCTCGATAACCTCGACGGCGACGGGACGTGCACAGAATGACTGATAAACGATGTACCTATACTTAGACCCAGCATAAATAACTATCGACCAATTGACATCTCTACACCATTGTAATAGAGATTAGAAACGAAAAACGACCATCCGAAATCCGAGACCGATAGAGTCGGGCTCATTTCCATTATATCTATGCGAAAGCAACACGGACTCCGAGAGTAATTCTAAGTTAATGTTAATCGAATGACTCTATCGAATTACATCACCATGTAAACTCAACAAGGAACTAAACTTTATAATATATGGCTGTCGATGTATTTATTTAGTAGTAGGTACCTAGTAAACACGAGAACGACTGCCGGTGCGTTGCCAACGTTCCAATGAGCAATTTTCCGAGGAAGTGATCGCACTCGAGCTCCAAACAGATAGGTCTTTGGCGCCGCGGACCGCTCTCTATAATAACGTTTGCATTTATTTATCGCTAGTTTGCCGACACTATTCGACGTGGTGTATCAGGGTACCGCTATCTTTGATAAAACGCTCTCTCGAGCGCATTCAGAGAAGCACGCTCTTCTAAAAGCTCGTGAATCTCTCGATTTGGAACGCGAGATTATCTGTGCGATTTGTCAAGGTGCAGCAGCATTAAGCCGCTTTAGAGGTTCGATCTCGCCACGAGATTCTCTTGACTTGCATTCCGATGGAAATTGCCCGCGGCCCGGCCAGATTACTGGCGCCGCATTGGATAATTACGCACCGATGAGGACATCCATTACGGAAGATAATTCAGCGAGTGCAATTAGAGGATGGCTCGGGATTCGATCGTGGCTGCTGATGCAAAATGATAAACCGGATTCTTCTAATATAAATTAACTATGTCCAATGTCCATAGTCATTAAGCTCCTCGTCGAGTGCCTGTTTAACATTCCACGCCACTGCATCTATACTTAAGACGCTGACGGCGTCTAGCCATATTAATAGTTGTTGAATAGAGAATAGTTGTCGACTGTGATGGCCGGGGCCCGTGCGGCCATGTCAGTAGTCACAAATCAAACGGTCCAAATTGACAGCCAATAAATAGTTTCAAATAGCGGACATTGGAATGCGACAACAAGGCCGCAAAGCAGCCTTGCTTTTTCCGCGTCATCCAATCAGCATAAAGCCTGTTATGTTAGCTCCAATCTGAATAGCAGAGAAACCGGCTGCGGCTCGCGCCACAATCATTATTAACGTAATAAAGTACTAGATAAAACGGAGTCAGACAGCGTGTGAACGTCAGGAGAAAGCCGTTGTCGCAACATTTGTTAGACGTTATTACCATCAGATACCCATTTGAATGTTTTTAACAGAAACTGTATGTTTAATTACGACTCTGAAGAGCATCTCAACCATAAAAGTCTAATGCTTACTAATGATTACAATCTAACAACCAAGAGCCTAATAAAAAGTTTGAATCAAAACTGATTCCCGTCGATTCGTCGTCCATATCCGATGCTGAGAAAGTTGTCGGTATCCAACATACATCATTTAATTCCTTTGGTTTCAATTAAACTATAAAACCACTATGGAAGGACCTTAACAGATAAACTGTAGAAATAGCAGAGGCTATGTTTGATGAGAGTATGTTTTGAGATATCTAAGCGGTAGATCTAAATTGAATCTCTGATCTGAAATGAGCGAAATGCACTGAAGAAATGGTCTTGGAACTTGATACCACGAATAGACGTCTCGTTGCGACCATCTGTAATGAAATTGAAGGGACATACGTAGCAAACGAAGCGGCGTTAAAGTTATCTTATTATAAAGATCTGTTCCACCGCAGCGGCGTCTGCGACGAGAACATTTCAATCGCGATTTACCAAAACCGGCTCCCGTGTCGCGATGCGATCGAGATGGTAAATATTTGCTCTTTTATTGAAATAAGTCGTTATCGCAAATGTATTTATAATACTTTCTTTTAACACCAAACCGTCCCCAAAACGCTATTCCCGTTAAATAGATCGACTTTCATAAAAAGCTTCTCCGTTAAGTGCATTCCACTTATTTCGAGCATCCGAAAAATCCTTTTACGGTTCTCAATTAGTGCGACTAAAATGGGGAAACTAGGAAATTAACACCTCGTTTACTGTGCCACGTGACAGAGGGTGACCGATTGCGTCGGTCCCTCCGTAATGTTCGGATGTCCAAACAAAATCTCACAACCGTGAAGCACCGCATTCTGACTCAATGCACCGTGAAGAATTGGCGCCTATGCACTTAACAATTCCTATAAAGCTGCTTTTGTGCATTAAAGAAAACCAAACTTGGGAAAAGATAAGAAGCACTTTCTTTTATCTTCGAATGCATCCTGCCTTCATGATCATTAGTAAGCTATCTCGTTCTGGCCTCGCTCCATCCTTTTCTCACACATCTCCGGAGGGCCATTTATCAATACCAAATAACATGCCGGGACCCTTTTCTCTTTTGTTTATTTGTTTTTTATTTACCTTATCCTTCGATGTTCTATTTGTGCCTTCGTTTTTGACTCGAAATTGATTGTAAAGCCGGTCTAATAGCATCCGTCGAACATTATGTTCTATGCATTGATGGCTACTAATGAGAGATGATGAGTTGGTTTAAGTAAGACTACGTAAAAGTTAATCAACATTGGAATACCTTTCTACAAATGAACTATAAAATTGAAAATTGCCCGTATTGTGGAACTATAAGACAAACAACATAAAATTAACGACTGTAATAGAATCTCGTTTTCATAATAATGCATGGCGCGCTGCAAAGTGCAATTAATGGAAGCAATTCTGCGTGCAAAAGCTATTAAAGTTCGCTATTAAAAGTTTCCAATTTCCCTTGTTCAAAAGGTTTAGCTATTAACGGTGCGCAAACCCTTTTGCTTTTTTTGCGTCAGTATTTTATTCTTTAATTGTTTTATTTATGGCAGTTTCGCATTCGCTACCGACCGACTTCATCTGCCGCTTTGAGCACGAACGAAATTCTGCAATTTCTTTGTGAATTCAGAGACTCTTGGCTCATTACGTTTTTGCTGAACATTTTTTAAATGCGGCGACTGCAGCATTTAGGGAATAATAAATATATTTACTTTAATCAATACATTTTTAATGGCCTCTTTAAAACGTGATTAACCGGACATCGACAGCTAGTGTGGTTTTTATCAAGATTCTTAGTCGATGTCCCGCCGATGGGCATTGGCATCGGACAACTCACTAATCATTCAAGTATTAGGGTTTAAAAAATACAAGATTCTGTGAACGAAAAAGATATCCTAAAGATGCCGGACATCAAGGGGGGTCTTCCTTAAGTTTTCCTCCGTTGTCGAGAGCAAATAAAGCGGCGTCCCTCTGAAATTAATTTTGTTTTGTTTCATCGTCTGGAGCCGAAGCATTTACATTGAATGTGGTCGGAGGCTGGCCGTTTGTGAGGATATTTATGTAGGGGCCCGTGGAGTATGACATGCGCATTATTCATACACGATACGCGCCACGAACCAGCTGTATTTTATTTTTACCGGTTCATCGTCTTGTCGTCGATGGGTAACCATTTAGGAGATGAAAGGGAAGTTTTTCTATTCAAAAACATTTGTGTGATTCACCGCTATGGTTTCAGGAATACAGTAGTCGGATCTTTGTTGAACTAACATTACTTCTTAGAGAATATGGAAGACAGATGAATGGGTTCACGAAGCTAAAATGTAGGATTTTATAGGTAAGGACGTAGGCACGGCGAATCGAACGCCATCAAAGTTTACGACACCACAAGGCGCCACGGTGTCGATACTTGTGATTGGATACACTGACTATAATGCATTTCCTTTTGCATTTGCAATAACAGTTTCCTGTTTCAATTTATTAGTTTACACTTATATATTTTCAACTTGTGAATAGGGTTGTTTTGTCTTGACGTACTTACCTTATTATCCATATCCTTTCAACTTTCTATTTCTTTACAACACTACTAAAGTATATTGGATTTCTTCTTTATTGCGAATTGATCTGTGGTTAACATATGTTCGTTTTTGTTACAGATTCAAATGACGGTGACGCAGGAGTGAGATGTTACTGCAACACTGCCCAATGCGTGGGTACGGGCTACATGTGCCGGTCTGCGCGCAGCGGGGGATGCTACAGCGAATTGCCCAGGCGCACGCACCACGCAAGGCACGGATGCCTACATCATCTGGCTGATACGTAAGTATTTCATATTTATTTATATGTAACAAAGCATTTACGAATAAAGGCAGAGCCAAATAAGAATAAAATCGAAAATGTTGTGCGTACTGTTTTGGATTCAGACACATTTTATTAAACTGATCGCAAATCAAATTATCATTTCAAATTATTTAAAGACCAATTTAATTTTCAATGACTAATTTAAAAACCAGGTGTAGTTGAATCGTACATGTATTGAACTGCATGCACATAATCAACTCCTGTTTAGTAATCTTTGTTCCTTTCGCACCTGTCCGTTTTATGGTCATCAGAACAACCATCTCTTATGTTTATTTAGTTTCTCCCAGTTCTAATGTACGTGGCTTTGTTTATCTTCATTTCACTTCATTGATTTCGCAATACTTTGAAAGCTATATCGCATTAGCATTATCTACATCTTCCAGTCAATCAGTTATTACGCATATAATATATAGGCTATTTGTTTATATTTTTGTACTTTCTTTTCCTGAAAAGATGACATAATATGATGCATATTAGATCATTTATATTTTTACAAGATCACAATGGAAAATTCTAGACTTTTTAAAATCATAATCTGCGTGCGTATTCAGTAGCCTTGTCACTTTTGATAAGCGTGTTTTGGACAATGATAGGGTCATCGGTGGTCAGGTTCATAAACTTATCATAGTCATATAAATAAGATTTGAAACAAATTGTGCTGAATTCTTCGAAATGTTTAAAATTCGATTTTTTAGTAGTATTGTTAATTGAATCAGAGATTCGTCTGACGATATTGACGGTACAAAAGATGTGGACGATAAAAAGGCTAAAGGAGCGTTCCAACAACATTCCTAAAGAAGGACTGAAGATTTTATCATTTCTAATTGCGATTCTAATTAGTATGCTGCCCATCGCTTAAATGTCAACCCTTTACAAAAAGATACATGAATTAACAAATTGGCTACTGCAGTGCAACCGCGCAATGTGACTAAAATTTATTTGATAACTTAAAACCGGTGTAAAATTACATTACGGCGTTGTGACAAAGATCTGTCTGTATAGTTACCGGCTACTGGTATTTGCATTTATTCATGTTTTACTTTAATCACTGTCACTTAGGCTTTTATCTTTTGCTTAAGTTTTATCTGAATTGTCTATTTATATCCAAATAGCTTTCGTACTGAGACAAAGGTTCATTATCTTTAATAGTTTTAAATTTGTCAAAAAATAGACATTCTGTTTCCTTCATAATATTCATCGTTTGTGGTATATGTGAATCATCTCAACCAAAACAATCTCAATTAGTATATGTATATCCTTCACCTATTTTGACATCCCAATCTTATTCATTCGATCAATTAATAACAATCTTAATCCTATCTCTTGACATTTTCACATCTATTTATAAAGTAATTACGATACATTTCTTAAGATACGGCGGCTGTACCTTTTTGAATTTCATCGAGGAATTAATTATTCTTTTGTTAGTCATCATGTGAGGTGCATTGTCATCGATCAATACTGCTTATCATGCTAGTGTATGGGCTCTCTAGCTGCGTACAAGCACCTTCAATCAATTTGTCTTCAGTTTCGAAATGACTGCCGCTTTCATCTTGATCATAGATGGAACATAACGACACAATTACAAATATGATTGAATATGTAGTTACAGAATTATTTGCAGAATCTGTTCGTTTGAATAGATGACACTGTTCCGTCACTTGGGTAATTATCAATAATTGGAAAGCTGTCTTCTACTAAGATCAAAGCATCTTGTTATCTCATTTCTATTCATAGAAACGTGAACATTATTTCCATCAATAACTGCTTGTTTATTTAACAACAGTAGAACATTAAGTAATCGTCGTATATTTTTTATGTGGCGCACGGTATGTTCACCTCGGTTTATTAATTACACCGGCGAAGGCATGTCGGACTCCACTCTGTTTTTATACTCTGAAATTACCCGCTCAGTTGATTATCTTATTCGGATCGGCCCGGGCCGCGTTCACCTAACCGGTTTCTGTCTGCCGCATGCCCAGTTTTATTTACTTTAAATAATTTTTGCTCCTTTTTGGCAATCTCTGCCATTATCTTCGCTAACGATCACCGTGTCCGCTTCGTTAAGATTTCCATAGAATTCAAATTGATATTCGCTTATTTTATCGGTAATTAATTCTCGTTTGACTTGTTTATTGTGTATATAAAGTGCTGGTGAGTGATGTCGGTTTGATGTCCTCGTTTGTTAAGATAAGGGTGACTCTGCTGGGGTTGAGGCGCGGGTCAGGCTAGATAGTGCTGCGCGGCCGCCGACCCGGCCTGTTCGATACTATTTCCTACGAAATCACACCCAATCACTGAGTGATAAAGTTTAAATTGGTTTGTGTAATTATCGAATGTATGGAATGTCTCCTCTAGGCTTTGTTCTTAGAGTGATCTTTTTGTCGTCAGTAATTGTGATCATCGATATCGGTATCGGCTATGGAATTATCTCGTTGGGTCAGTTGCATGTCAACAATCCAGGTTCTTTGTATGTCGTCTCAACTAGTTCTTTGTTTCATCCACTTGCATTGCCACAACAGATTATATTGTTATCTGCCTCTAAATACGTAATTTATGCTTATTTATTTATTGTTTCAACTCTCGATTGTTTAACACTTGGGTATCAATGTGACATTACATTAACTCGTATAGATAACGTTTCTTCGTAAATTGTGGATAGTTTATAATTGCTATCGTGTAATTAGGTACATTAGTTAATTTTGAATCTGTTTTATCTTTTGTAGCATATTTCCTATGGATGATGTTTGAGTTTCTAGCGATATTTTAGCTCCCATTTCGGCTAAACTTTATAATAAAGTATTTCATTTTGAAAGTACTACTAGAGATTCTATGACAAAAAACATACTGCTAGATTATTCGAAGGTCTCATTAGTTTTGCTTAATTAAGTGCCCTTAAAATATCTTCTTGAACTTTCTTTTCACATGTGCAGTAAACGCATTGATTAAAACGAAATAATGAAGCAACAACCAGTTCATGATGCGCTGCGAGATTAAAACTATTTAAAACTTAATTGGCTTTTAGTTGATTATGTTTATTTATTTATTTTATTAACTCATTACTGGACTGTACTTAGGGGCTGTTGACTTAGAATAAGTTTTTTTTAACAAAACTGCCCCACACTAAGATTTTCTCCTGTGTCGTGGGTGCGTTTACAAACATTCATGTAATAATACATATGACACCCAAACCCACCCAAACAACAGTCAGTGGATCACACAAAGAGTTGTTCTGTGTAGGAATCGAACCTGCGGAACGTTGCGTGGCAGCAGATTGCCCAGCCACCGTGCCAACTGTGCTATCGATTACTTATCTATGCTTCAGGTCCACCGAAGTGATACAGTGGTCTTATAGAAAACCAGAGTAAAACAATGCTTGCATTGTGTTTCGCCCTTGAAGGTATTGGCCCAACTGAAAATCAGTGTTGGGTGCTCACTGTGCCCAGTTTTTAGCTGAGTTGGCGACCCATTCGGCTTGGGCATGTCTGCCAATATCGCGTAGAACTTTATTATACCTATCTAATTTTTTTTATTATCTTCTAGTTTTATAATTTAGCTTTTATCTTTTTATTCTCTCTCTTGTGTTAATTTTTTTTTATCAAATTGTATTGTATTGTTTTTTTTTTGTTCCTTGCATTCATGCCGTATGCCGAATATTCTTTTTCATTTCATTTCACCCCAACGTGAACTTCTATGGAGTTTTGGGTGTCCGTCCGTGCTGATTGCTTTCCATCAGGTTCTCCTTTCCCTCATTCCTCCTCCTTCCCACGATCCTTCGATGTTAGATCGACTTCCTTCCTTCCCCTCATTCCTCCTCCTTCCCACGATCTTTCGATGTTAGATCGACTGATGTTAGTTGTCAGAGAATTTGATGTTAGTTATCAGAAAAGTTTCAAGGGTATAACTTCTCTGATGTTGCCATCTATCCATGTACGTCGTTGATTTCTTACCATCAGGTGATACGACTGTTTATGTACCGAACGATAAAAACAAAAATGAATCGTGTTAATAACTAACACTTCTTTTAGTTTTTATGTTAACAGCCGTATCTATAAAACCATGTAATGTATGGAAAATAATGGAAATGATATTCGTATTGCGAAGAAAGTGTTAAATTTATTCTTTAAATTGAAACGTTACTTTATGATCGTGCGAGTGAATAATTGTATTATGGTACATGGTACTGCTGTTTTATGAGCAAACTGTTTTAATGTTGATGAATGTGTACCAAAGAATGCTTTAGAATGGTATTATGTATTTTATTGCGGCTTCGCCCTCCGCGTTGAAAACATTTTTGAAGAGAAAAGAATCCGGGACCGTTTTAAGTTCTATTACAAAGTTAAAGCCACGTCTAACTGCTTATAAAGGTAGTATAACACCTATTTTGAAAATGTATTGAACTATTTAGACCATGATGGTATGTGTCTGAGTATCAAAGTTCATGATATCCAGTTCTTGCGTTTCCATACAATGGTACTGGTTGAATAGGTTCTTAATATTTATTTGTTTCTTTTAGGGCCGTTTTTTAAATCAGCAGTTTATTCTTAAATATAGAATAAAATTTACAGTTGACAGTTTTTAATATGGAAGAAATGTCAAATATTGATAGTTATTCCTCAGTTAAAATTTATTGGAGCATTGCAAAATTTTATCCCTTTTAGACCCATCTGGTGTTTAAGATATCATCTGATGTCTTGAGGGGGGATTACATTAAAATCACCATTTCTAATGTTGCTTAGCGACTCGAGTTAAGTCGCAAGTGAAGATAAAAATGGCACAGTATAATTTTCATTTTAATAATTATTCAGATTTTATTGGATTGAAATTGAATTGAGATTTAGACTGGTTTTAAGAGTAAGCCTAGGGATGCGGGCGGAGTTTTCACAGGTTTCTGGGACAAATGCCTACTCCTTTGTCATATGCAAAGGCAAAGACATCTTAAATCCTTATTTATGTAA